TCAAACATTCCCCCTCTTTCTTTCTCAGTTGTGTCAACAGCTACAGTGCTTCTACTCTGTTTATTCCATACGGTTTGATCTTTTATTATTGCTGATCAAGACACTTTTCTTTTACAAGCATTATTTAAAACTTTATCTACACCAGTAGTAGCAATGAGATTCAATATATGAGAGGCACACCTTTGATGGTCTGGCAAAATGCATATACACAAACATGATGATACCTCATCATCAATAGCTTAAACATCAGCTAGTGAATGAATTTCTACAGCATCTTCATCTTGGTCATCATCTTCATCTACAACTGCATCATCACTATGCAGTTGGTCGAGAGAGATGGTGGATGCATCGTTGGAGAACATACTGTATTCTTTAAACTTACAACATAAGCACAAAAGTAATTTTGACATTTAATAACAGGGTAATGTTATGATCTGGTGTCCAACTAAAGTTACCACAACAATCAACCAACAAACAATATAATTAACCTTTGCAAGATGATGAATGGTTTTATGATTTTATTAAGATTAAAGAAAGACTTCCAGGCATGAAAAGGATAATTATAAGAATGTGGATTGTAATATATATCCTCTCTCCTCCCATTATTTCATTTTTTCCTTCATTTATCAATTCATTCCCACACCCATGTTTGTATAATACAAACTGTGTTCTCTCTCTCTCTCTCATTAACTATTCTTATTGTGATATTTTAAAGCTTCTCTCTAATTGGCCAATGATTGTGTAACATCACAAATGGGAGTAATTCCATGGAGGCAGCGAGTCGGCCATAGAAAACGTAGTCATGGCTCATCTGACTAAGGGCTATTGTTTGGAATTGTACATTGCAGTAATTTAAATATATAGACAAATTCATGTAACTTTACAATATGCCAATAACCTGAAAGCCTTTACAAAGTTGCTGCCTTTATCTATTATTGTCTTGCCAATTTTGTTCTCGAAGCTATATTCAACACGTAGTGCTTCTAGTGCCTTTCCAATGAGATCGTAGGTATGACGTCCTTTTATACGAGGGCAGGTGATAACTGTGTGGTTATGTTCCGGCATATCCTCATTTATTCAGTGCACAGTGACTCCTAAATAGGCTCTGAAATAAAATAATAGTCAGTCAGTTTTCAACCGTGCTGTTAATTAGAAAACAGGTTAAATTTCAATATTTAAAAATTAACTACAGTAAATATGTTAACAATCTAGTAAAATATCAATGTTCCTAATTCAGGTGCAAAAAACAAACCTCTAACATTATATAGTTTAAAAAATGTGAGAATATTATAAATTAAAAAATTAAAGAATATATATTATTTAATTACCTGTTTCTGTAACTCTAGTAGTCAGCAATCACAGCCACAGTCTATACTACAGCTAGTTGAGACTTGAGAAGGCTAATTTTTTCCTCATAGATGTTGTTCATTTGCATCATTAATGTTCTTGGAGAAATGACTGTTCTTGTTGGCTTTAGTGATGTGATTAAATTTCTAAAGAATGTGGACTCGACAACTCTAAAACTCTGAAACCAGGAAGACCAATATCAGTCCATTCAGCTTTTGTTGAGACACTCAGGAGCTTTGCCCAAACATTAGAACTTATAGTTTTTTTCCCATGAACTGCAAGTTTTGGGGCATGTTGTCATTACCTTCATTTACTTTCAATGTTCGCCTGTTTCACTGCAGACTCAAATCCCTTAGCAACGTAGAAATGTTTTATGGACAAGTTTCTTTTAAACATTGCTTGCAGCTTCACTGTTTGCACTGAACGTTTTCTTTAAAGATAAACAAAACAAGCATTCTTATGATATGTTGCTACCAGTACTTCTTCCAGTAAACTTAAAGTACTTTTTCAGATATGGCCACAGGTTACATGGAATGTTGCTCAAACTACTGCCACTTTCGTATGAGATAGTTCTGCACATAACCTCCCATTCTAATAGCTTACAAACAACTGACAGAAATATACACCAAAGGTATCCTTGATTAGTGTGATGGCCCTCACTAA